CAGCTGAAGCCCTCCAACCTCTAAACTACACTTTGTATGAGGAAATAAATTCCCTTAGTTATTTAAACCAGTTTCTGTTATCTACAACTGAAAGCAGCTGAGCTTTATGTCAGACGATAAAGGTTAAAACCTGAAAAAGTGACAAATTCTCCCTGTTTCGCTCTAATGTCTAAAGTATAAAAGCCATAGTCGCACCACCTTGTAACTTGTTAGAAAAACCAATTCTTGGGCCCCATCCCAGACCTACTAAAATCCCTGGGATGCACCCAGGGATCCTTAGCAAGCTTTCCAGGTGACTTTTCAGCATGCTGAAACTTGAAACCTCTGCAGTGCTCAGCGACTCCTTGTTTGCATTTCTAACAAGCAACAGGTGTTGCTGATGCCCGTGGAAGGCAGATCAGCCTTTACGTGTGTTAGTCGCTCTGTCGTGCCCGACTTTTTGCGACCCCATGGACTGCAGCCCACCAGGCTTCTCTGTCCATGAGATTTTCCAGGCAAGGATACTGGAGTGGGTTGCCTTGAGTAGTACCTCTGAAATTCTCTGTTCCCTGAGATGTTGAAGCAATTCAGAGCTTCGAAGAGGGTGCACTAAGTTTTCCTCCTCGTCAGAGGTAAGCAGTAACTACTTATGAGCTAATTCAGGCTGGCTTCTTTCCAAAAGAAGAAGTGAGTAACTTGGAGAATATTTTTTTCTCTGTCTCAGTAGATCAGTGATAAAAGTGTATCCTATTGTTACCCAAAGTGGGGTCTGGCTGCTTGCAGGACTGGAATTTCTTGGTCAAAAAGTCAATGCAATGTTATTCTGTTAGAGACAGGTTGTTTTTGTGTGAAGAGACAGGGATGATCCCTAAATCTGGGTACACAGTGCCATGAGATAATCCTTGTTGGTATTCCCAACGAGTTTTAAGGTTTTTCTTTGTTATGAAAGAATTCGGAGACAAAGGAGAGAGGTTAAGAAAGTAAAATGAAAGTTTACTTAAGCAAGGATATGCTTTCAGAGAGAGCAAGGGAGCAGGCAGTCTGGTAAGGAGCTGGGTGTCTTTGGCAAGCCAGTTAGCAGGTGTCTACAAATGGTTAACTAAAAAGATACACAACATGAAAGGTGAGCTGTTTTATTTAGGGTAAAATGAGGATTGCAGCCCAAGAGAGGGCACCTCAGATAGCTCTGAGGAACTGCTCCAGAGAAGGGTGTGTGTGTGGGGGGGGGGGGGGGAGGCCAATATATGTGATTTTGGTAAAGGGGCGTTCATGCGATAAAACGCTTATCTTTATGAGGTTCTCTGCTAGTTGTAAGGAGCTGAGGTCACCATGAAGGGATTTAATGCTTTTCTAGCTATGAGAAGATACAAGGATTGGGCTCATAAAAGGGTCCCTGCTCCTTTCTCCTTGTAACAGATTTTGTTTGCGTCCTCCAAAAGTCTCTGTTTCCCTCAGTCCTGTGGAAGCTCTGTAATGAAATCCCGCTGACCTTCAGAGTCAGATTCCCTGGTGATTCTGTTGTTTTGCCAGATCCCCAGATTAGAAAGTCTGTTGTGGGGCCTAGAACTTTGGCAAGAGTGCGAGAACTTCTTTGGTGTGATTGCTCTCCAGTTTTGGAGAGCCCACCTGGCGGGTCTGTGGTGGAGCTAATGGCAACCTCCTCCAAGAGGACTATTGCCTCTGCCTGCTGCACCTCTCAGAACCGCTGCAGCCAGAGCCCCTGTCCCGGTGGCAGGTCACTGCACCTTTCACTGGGTCCTGGTGACCACAAGGTTTTGTTGGTGCCTGCCAAGCATCTCTGGCGGGTATGAGGTTTGATTTTAAATGTGACTGTACCCCTCCTATTGTAACAGGAGGGAAAGGGGCAGGGCACAGCTTTTGAAAGAATGACATATTTTGTGAAAGGGACACAAACTGATTAGAATCAAATGGGACCAAGATGACAGACAAGGCTAGACCTTGATCCTGAGTCAGCAAGTGAAATGACACGCCCAGAGGTGCCCTGACAGTTCCCAGGCACGGTTAAAAGACCAAGGAGTGGGCTGTGGCCTAAATCCAGGAAATCTCCGCCCGTTCCCCAAATCAGTTGGAATAGTCCTCCAACTCATTAGCATATGAAATTACCCAGGCTATAAGAACTAATTATGCCACATTTCACGGCCACCAAGTTCACCCTCTGTGATGGCCCCCACTCTGGAGTGTGCTTCTATCTGAATAAATCCACTTCTTACCTATCACTTTGTCTCTCACTGAATTCTTTCAGCGATGAGACATCAAGAACCTGAGTTTCATTAGGTCCGGAAACCAGGTACAGTGGGTTTTGGCTGGGTTCGAGTCCCATCCTTGTGGGTTCCAGTCCCAAGCTGAGGTAAACGGTTTCACTACCATTTTATTGGGGCTTCCCCTTTGCCCTTGGATATGGGGTATCTTTTTTTGGTGGGTTCCAACATCATCCTATTGATGGTGGTTCAGCAGCTAGTTGTGATTTTGGTGTTCTCACAGAAAATGAGCACATGTTCTACTCCTCAGTCTTCTAACTGCACCAGCTTTCCTGGAGCACAAAGCCTCTCATTCCTGTTTTCAACCTGAGCTGCCTTCAGGGTGTGTTGAAGGTCAATAGCTGCAGCAAGTCAAGATTCAATCCCTGCAGAGGCAGATGGCAGATGCCCTTGGCAAAGACCAATTTGTAGTTGACAAATGAAGGGATGGAATATTCACTGGGGAAGGAGGAGTTTGGGGGTCATCTTCCCGGATTTTCATCCCAGCTCCATTTTCCCAAGGGGGAGGAGGGGTTTTTGTGGTTATTTAGCCAAAATCAGAAGTGGCATGGCATTGGTGAGTGATAAGTGCTTTCCTGTAAGGTTAAATCTTATAGAGCAAAAGGTTACATTTGAATGCAGGGGAGTCCACCTTTCCCCACCATTCTCAGACCCTTATCACCCAAAATATGTGATTTCCTGTCGCTCTGAAGTTTCCTGCCTGCATTTGTCTGCCTATGCACCACCACCACTCCCCCCCCAACCCCCCACCCCTGCCAACACGCATAAGAGTCTTGGTTTCTTGCCACTTGGCCCCTGCCCCCTTTTCTCTTCTCACATTTAGCTACCTGCCTGCTTGCTGTAACATTGGAATGATGGTGAGTGGACCACAGTGCTCCGAAAACCTCTAGGCTAAGAGGCTAGGTCATACAGTACCTTTATAAATTAAATTCTTAAGCAGGCATTGTGTTCTTAACAGTGTGCTGAGAAATATGCTGGGTACTAGGAATGAAAATGCGCACTCTAGGAGTTGTCTGCATTGTTACTCTTCAGTCACTAAGTCATGGCTGACTCTGCGACCCCATGAACTTCAGGCTTCCCTGTCCTTCACTATCTCCAGGAATTTGCTCTAATACATATCCATTGAGTCTGTGATGCTATCTAACCATCTCATCCTCTGCCGCCCTCTTCTTTTGCCTTCAATATTTCCTAGCATCAGGGTCTTTTCAAATGAGCCGGCCCTTCCCATCAGGTGGTCAAAGTATTGGAGCTTTGGCTTCAGTATCAGTCCTTCCAATGAACATTCAGGGTTGATGGGCCAAGTGGTCCCCTGCTTCTCCTATAATCCCTGAAAATGGTGACTTAGTAGAGTGATACTTCAAGCATGAGTTTCCATTGAAACAAAATACAACTTTACAAAGAAATATTCTTATATCATATAAGAAACAGTAACTGATATATCTGTTGATAGTTTTTTTTTAAAGGAACTTGAATTTGGGAAGGGAAAGTAAAAGCAGAAGTAAATTTATCAGTGCAGCCTCATTTTCCAACAGTGTGGGAGAGGAAGAAAATCCAAAATGTGAAACTTCCCTCCTGTTGATATGAGAAATGAAAGTCACTCAGTCTTGTCTCTTTGCGACCCCATGGACTGTAGCCTGCCAGGCTCGTCTGTCCATGGAACTCTCCAGGCAGGACTATGGAATGGGTGGCCATTCCTTTTGCCAGGGGATCTTCCCAACCCAGGGACTGAACCAGGGTCTCTTGCATTGCAGGTGAGTTCTTTACCATCTGAGCCACCGGGGTGGCAGAGTGATAAGAAGGTGAACTTGGGAATCAGGAAGTTATAAAACTTCAAGTTATAGAAATTAAAAGGCATCAGATGTATGGAGGTACATGCCAAAAAGGTTTAAAGAAAAAAAAAAGTACATTGCAGTAGCCCCAAACTCTTTAAACATATGATTGAAATTTTGGAAAAAGAAAATCCTGAAAATTTGGAAACCAAATCATGTACTACCTGTTATTGGGAATTTAGAATCATCAGAGATAAACTGCTATTGATAGTATATATGCCTTATGTAGGCTCAGTGGTAAAGAATCTGCCTGCAATGCAGGAGACCCAAGAGACATGGGTTCGATCCCTGGGTTGGGAGGAACACCTGGAGGACGGCATGGCCACTCGCTGCAGTATTCTTGCCTGGGCAGAGGTGCCTGGTGGGCCGCAGTCCGTAATGTTGCAGACTTGGACACAACTAAGCAATTTTGCACACAAAGCACATTTCATTTGCAATTTTGGTGACTATGAAAATATGAGGATTTTCTTTAGCATGTTTGCCACTTGAGTTCATTTTTTGTCTTAAAGTCTTTAGTTTGTCAACTATTTTTCCTACCATAAATTTTTTTTAACATAAAAATCTGTTATATAGTAGGCATTTGCCTCTAAGAAACTTTCTGATTTTATAGTCATGGCTGATGCAGAAGTGTTAATGTAAGCTTTCTGAGCAGAAGACTTTTAAACTAATAAAAATAAATGAAAAAAAAAATAAATTCCATCTGCTAATTCAGACAAACTGAACTTTGAATGATCTGTATTAATGCTTGTCTAAGCTGTTAATCGTCCAGAGCTGAATATGAGGCCTTTGTCTAAATATTCTACTGATTCTAGAAGTAACCCGAGTTGCACTCTAATTTTGTATTTTTTTATATTTCAAACACCAGAGAGTAATATTGTGGAATATACTTTAAAATAGTATTACAAAAACAACATAAAACAAAAGTATGTTTTATTCTTGTGCCATGTTTTAAGCTTTTGACATAAGTTTCACTGTTATGATAAAAGTATACATCTTATGTGAAATTCTACTTGGAAATGTTAGTAATATGTAATTTGACAAATCTATTATGAAAAGAAAAATATACAAACTTTCCTCTTTAAGAAGATATTGAAACTTTCAGTTTGAAAGAGAATAATATATGAAAGCAAAGATAACTCCTATGGTAGTTTAATCCATACTTTGTATTAAGCCTAACAATTTATAGTTAGGAGCACCTATTATTTTGCAGGATTATACTTTGACATTAATTTCTGTATGTAATACCAAAGTGCTATCATTTAGTAACTTTCATTGAATTTCATAAGAATTGTAATCTCACATTTTATTCAGCTTGTTTTTAGAATTATATAAGGCACACTAAATCTAATCAAGAAAAATTGACAAGGAACAGATTAGTGCAAAATAAATTTCGTTGTCATCTTTAAACTATACTTTTTTCACTTTGGCTGGACTAATATTGCTGTTTTTAGACTTCTCAGTATTTGCAAAAGCATTTCTTAGAGCACAAAGTAAAATGAAACAGTAAAATGACTTGATTAAAATGTCTCAAGTTTGTGTCTGATCTACCCATGACTCAGATTCTTCTACACGCAACATTCCAGTTTATTGTAGCATTTTCTGTTTTTCTACTTTGATGTGTACTGAGGTAAATGTAGACAGCATGACTCATTAAGGTTTTAAGAAAAAAACTTCCCCAAGCAGTCCTACAAAGGCAGAGAAATCTAAATCTCTCACCTCTGCTTTACTTTTATAGAGAAGGTGAACAGAACTGCTTTCTCTGCTGGTTCTATGACCACCAGCGATGCCTGTTTTCATATGATTTGCCCAAATCACATCAGAGAAGGATGGCTAACTTCTGTTGGAAACCTATTAAATTCAAAGACCACAGGGCAATTTCATCAATTTCAGTATCTTAGTTGAATACAACTTTTTATTTATGTGCTTATTTTGTAAGTGATGCTATGATAAAAATAACAGAACAAAGTCAGGCTGCTTAGAAAATTTTCAGTTTAGTTTTGCCAAAATTAATGGAATGCTTTTTCTTTCTTGAACAATGATATAATACGGTTTTCTGATATTTACCCAAATTCATCTTAGATATAATTATTTACATTAATATCTATAGCAACTTTGCAAAGAATAGCCAAGTATCTTTGCCCAAAGGGTAAGTGGAATTTTAAATACTTAATATGTACAAATAATCCTTAGTGTGCTTTCTGAAATGCTTTGGGTGTGCTTTCCTCAATCTTCAAATTCCCTCAGAAATAGAGTGTTCAAAAGTTATTTATGTAAAAAAATTTTTTAATATTTAGTAACTTATTTAGCAGTTACTATTTACTTTACTTTCTTACATTTTAGCATTAAGACAAGAGTGGGTCAAGTTTGGCTTGTGTGGTTGAAAGTTCACTCAAGTAGGGTAATCACAACATGGTCATCCCGGCCTTGCCATAACATCTCTCCTTCAAAGTCGACCAGTCCGTGCTTCCTGGCACGCATGAGAATGCCCACGACTTTATCTGAAATACGGACGTATCTGTCGAAGAGATCCCCAAAGGTGACCTGGATCTTGCCGTCGCGTCTGTGGCGAGCCATCGAGCGGATGATGAAACACATGTCCAGGATTTCTCTGTAGATGTGTTCCTCGGCTCTCTTGGCCCGTTCGGCAGTTTTGGTTCCTTCCTTGGGACGGCCGTAGCCTTCGTCTCCTTTATGCAGGCGGGTAGACATGGCCAACTCATAATCAAACTCTTCACTGAAAGGATTGAGCTTCTGGGATTGGATATGTTCATCAGCCCACTGTTGCCATCTCCCTTTCAGGTTGCCCACTTGGCTGTATTTCCGCTGGGCTTTGCAGTTGAGCGTCTCTGTGAATCTGTTTGCCCTAAAAGAGAGAGAGGGTAAAAAACTCAAGATATTCATAATTTAACAAGGGTTGCTTTCTACTTGTACTTCTTATACATATGCATCTTAATGTAAATCTATACAATTTTTCATTATAAAAGACATGTAAACAATTCAAAAAAATAAGAGATGGAAGAAGAAAAGTCACAGACGATGCCTCTATTGTTCTGAGTTTGAGATCGGTCCTAGATTCTTTTCTCTGTGAGTAACAATAATGTTTTAAGCCCCATAAAATGATGATATTAAACTGTATTTCAAGGAAAAACTTCCTTACACAAAGGTAATGCAAATATGTGTAGTTCAGACTTGCAGGTTAGTAACATTTAGAACTGGAATCATATCTGTGTGTTAAGGGAATGCACTTTATACAGGACTTCAAAAAAGTTATTTGCCCAGAATAAGGTTTTTATCAGCCACATACTTTGTACTATTCACTCGTGTAGATTTTTAAATTATTTATTTTAATTGGAGGATAATTACTTTACAATATTGTGACGGTATTGCCACACATCAACATGAATCAGCCGTAGACATACATGCGGCCCCTCCCACGTCCCTCCCCACCCCCAACCCTCCAGCTTGTCACAGGGCATGGCCTTTGGGTACCCTGCATCATAAACAGCAAATTCCCATTGGCTGTCTACTGTGTGCATGGTGATATATATGTTTCAGTGCTATTCTTTCAGTAATCCCACCCTCTTTCTCCCACTGTTTCCAAAGGTCTATTTTTATGTCTGTGTCTCCTTTGCTGCCACCTTTGCCATGTATAGAGTTTTAAATGTGTATTTTTTATGAAGCATATCTATGCTCATATCTATGATGTACCACAAATTTTGAAATATCTAGTTGTATAAATAGGAGTCACTAGCTAGCAATAGTAACATTAAATACTGTGTGCTGACATTCTTCTAAATACTTTCCACTAATATTTCTACAACCATTTTATGAGATAGGTACCATTAATCTCATTTCACAGATGAGGCAAGTGAGGGCAGAAGGGTTAAGTAACTTTCGATCGCGAAGTTGTTAAATGATGGAGCTAGGATTCAAACCAAAGTAAAGTTAGCTCCAGAGCCTGTGTATAACTACTGTGAAATGTTGCCTCAGCCCAGTGGAAGAGGTGGGATCCGACCCCAAATATCTGAGGCCAAAGACCGTGCGCTCTCTGCTATGTGATGGTGGTGATAGTGCCGCCCAGCCTGCCAGGATAGTGTGTAATAAGTGGATGAGTTGTGTCTCAAATGTGTGGGTCTGCCTTTGCAGCCTGGAATGCATTTCTTATTAAAACAAAAACCATCATTGGCGAGTGTAGACCTAATTTAAACAGCAAAGTTTGTCTTTAACAGACTTTCCTGTCATCTCTCTAGCTCCAATCTTATAAGTAAAGCATGAACTCTTGGACTATATAAAAGTCAGAAATCTGTATTCCTCATCCCCACAAGTGACTCACCCATCCTTCTCCCCAACAGCAAGTGGCTTCATGTCTGTAAGCTTTGGAATTGGAGATGTAGGGTAGAGCTGAAATTGCTTATGTGGCTACAGTCCATGGGGTTGCAAAGAGTTGGACATGACCAAGCAAGGAAGCACACACACATACACACACATGTGAATGGCATGCGTGAATTCAATAACCCCTCCCTGAAGTCTCATAATTTGCTGGTCAAAAAACCCAGGAACAAGTCAGATGTGGGTGTTCCTCACCATCCAAATTCATTTCCTAAAATCTGATCATTCAAATACAGGAAACTAACAGATATGGGTGGGGAGGCATACATACTTGTATTATTTTTCGAAGAGGACTGACAGCCACTAGATGGCGAACTTTCATTAATTCTCATCCTTTGTGTCCCTAGCTTGCTGCATTCAGTTTCACTATCATAATAGAATTTAAACTAGGAGTACACTGCTGCATATAACACTACTATTCTTTGTAAACACATGGACAAAAGTATATGACCAAGTTAGTTGGGGAAAATCAGCATTCAAAAACTGTTTATACAACTATTACAGCTTTAAAAAATCACATATGTATGGAAGGGCTTCCCAGGTGGCCCGGTGATAAAGTATCTGCAAGCCAATGCAGGAGCTGCAGGAGACAGGGCTCCATCCCTGGGTGGGGAAGACCTCCTGGAGGAGGAAATGGCAACACACTGTAGCATTCTTGCCTGAGAAATCCCATTGGCAGAGGAGCCTTGCTACAGTCCATGGAGTTGCAAACACCTGGACACGACTGAGCGACTAAGCGCACACATATGTGTGGACAAGTGCTAGGAACTACACTGCCCTGAGGGAAATGCATGAGCTGCTAGATCTCGTGATCAAACGAGAGTAAATACCTAGTCCCCTTGGAATGATGGCAATCCATGGCAGACACAGCCTTCAAAAACAAGCCTGGTGTCATCCTGGCAGAACCCAAAGCTCATATCGAATTCGAGGCTGGAACAGCTTGCTGGAGAAGAGACTTGAACATCTCAGAAGACAGCAAAAAAACCCAGCATGACTCATTAATTCATTCTTTCTGTCTCCTGAGCACTGACTGCGGTTCTGTCCTATAGTATAGAATATAATACGTCCTCCCTTTAAGGAACTTCTGGGCACTTTGAACATTCCCTCCATCCTTTATTAAAGCATGTATGACACCTACTGTGCACCAGACACATGTTTTTCAAAATTAATTTATATTTCTGTGGCTTTACCGGGTCTTTGTTGTTACGCGAGGGTTTTCTCTAGTTGTAGCAAGTGGGGGCTACTCTCTAGTTGTGGTGTGTGGGCTTATTGTGGTGGCATCTCTTGTGGAGCACAGGCTCTAGGGTGCACGGGCTTCAGTAGTTGTGGCACACAGGCTCAGTTGCCCCACAGCACATGAAATCTTCCTGGACCAGGGATCAAACCTGTCTCCCTGCACTGGCAGGTGGATTCTTAACCACTGGACAACCAGGGAAGTCCCAGACACTCTTCTAAGTACTAACTGAATATTCAGTAATGAAAAAGAATGGTGAATAATCACTAAAAGACATTCATAAAAATAAACAGAATAAAACAGATTTGAGCACATGCTACAATTTTAACTATGTAAAATGTGTATATGCACCAGGTTGAAGAAATCAAGAGTACGTGCACAACTGAAATTATGTTAGTCTAGAGACAGTTGACTTTTTAAATTTTTTTTTTCAAAATTCTTTCTGCTGGTATTACAGTTGGCCCTTGAACAACACAGGTTTGAACTCCATGGGTCAACTTACATGTGGACATTTTTTCATAGTAAATACTATAGTACCAGGCTTCCAGGTGGTGCTGGTGTTTAAGAACCCGCCTGCCAATGCAGGAGACGAGAAACTTCAAGTTCCATTTGAGAAGATTTTCTGGAGGATAGCATGGCAACGCACTCCAGTATTCTTGCCTGGAGGATCCCATGGACAGAGGAGCCTGGCGTGCTACAGTGAATAGGGTTGCAAAGGGTCGGACACGAATGAAGCGACTGAGCATGCGCGCACACACACTACAGAACTACAGGATCTGCATCTGCTTGTTCTGGGGAACTATGCATGCGGGTGGGGGCTCTGATACTTCCGGCACTGGAAAATTTGAGTATAACTCTACAGTTGCTTCCCTAGTAGCTCAGCTGGTAAAGAATCTGCCTGCAGTGTGGGAGACCTGCGTTCGATCCCTGGGTTGGGAAGATTCCCTGGAGAAGGGAAAGGCTACCCACTCCAGTATTCTGGCCTGGAGAATTCCATGTACTATATATATAGTTCATGGGGTCACAAAGAGTCGGACACGACTGAGTGACTTTCACTTTCTACAGTTACACTGTATCCATGTTTCCACATCCATGGATTCAAGCAGCACAGGTTGAGCAATACTCTAATACGCATTTATTGAAAAAAAAAATCCACTTTTAAGTGGACTCACACAGCTCAAACCCATGTTGTAAGAGTCAACTGTATTGATTTTATAACTTAGAGGAAGAACAGAATTGAAAAATATTCAAATTAGTATCCAGAGATAGTTTGCTTAAACTGTATATTATATGGGTCTCATTCTTTGATGATGTATATTTTTTTCTTTTAACTAGGAACTTTAATTCCCTGAGTGTTGAAATTCTATGTCGTTTGGGATAAGGGTCGGGTTTGGTGAGGTAATAATGCTATGAAGAAGAGAAACATCTAAAAGAGCATCTTCTAAATTTTAATGTCCATTTGTTATATAGTCAAACTATAATTTCCAATAATAGGAAAGAAGGAAAGTGAAAGAATTGGTCCTTTAAGCAAGAATTAGAAAATTGGGTTGCTTAAAAAGTACTAGAAGGAAATATACCTTAATGAATATTTAATTTTATCTATCTTGTACATGTTCTGTATTACTTTCATATTTTCAATTTTTAAAAAGTCTGAAAGGATCAGGTTTAAATCAGGATTAGTAAGTCTCAGACCCTGAGCATCTCCTTGATCACTGAATGTAGGAATCAATATACCAGCTTGTCCTATTTTTTAAATTTTCAAGTAAAATGTGAATGATAGTTCAGATTGAGTTTTACAAAGATGACCTAGTATAAATTCACAGAAAGCAAAGAGCTATTCAAAGACCGTGCTTATATCTTAGGCTAAAACGCTTCTCTGTCAGTAAAGCCAAGAAGTGCTGCCACATTTCCGATGTCTCAGGGAATTTCTGGGGAGAATCTGCTCCTGTGTGCACTGATGTGCTTACTCTTCTTATAGGAAGTATAGAGTGAGTTTGGTTAATGGGAGTGTGACATCCACAGGGTCACATTTATCAGAAGCAGGATGACTGTGCATTCACAACTGTGCTCTTCATTCCTTGCAGACAGGTAACCATCCTGAGTCCATGGAAGGATTCCAATCTCTAGAACTGGGGCAAATCCTAGAGGGCCATACTTTCCCCTTCATTTCTAGCAAATATCTTTAATATAGTTGCACCAAAACATTACACTTTGGGAGTTTTCCTGGGATTCCATAACAGAGGTGAGGCTTGGATCTCCATTTGATTTGTTGAGTCTGTTCTCTACTGAGAGATGAGTCTAACACAGTGGTTAAGAACACAAGCTCTAGGAGTAAAGTCATCCTTCCCTGGTGGCTCAGATGGTAGAGAATCTGCATGCAAGGCAGGAGACCTGGGCTCGATTCCTGGGTTGGGAAGAACGCAAGCTCTGGCATCACTTCCCGAGAGCATCACTTACAGGCTCTCTGACGTGGATACATTTCTGTGTTCAGCTCCCTTTTCTATAAAACACCCCCTCATGCTCAACCATTTCATTTTGACCGAATAGACCTTGGAGGAGAGGGTGGATGCATGACTTTCATTTTAATATTGTGCCATTACTGTATGTAGTACACTATGTAATATTGGGCCATTACTGTAATGGGGAACAGATAAAAGTTGCTTTGTCTAAAGGACCTGGACCAAACAAGTCACATAGCTATGTAATCAAAAGACTAACTATTTTAAAAATAAAGCATAAAATGGGAATCATTTTCATAGTAAAGCCCCAGTTAGTAAAATTCTTTTGGTAAGAAATATTTCTATTTTTTATCAAACCTGAATTGTCTCTGTTATCCATTAGATCACCCAGAAAACTCTTTCTCCTTAAATATCCATGACACATCATTTTCTCCCTTTTAGTGGATATGGGGAAAGAATGGTGCTTAGAAGTAAAAATCAGTGAACAAACCCCCTCCATATAGGCTTAGTCAGCGATGCCATGATCATGTCTCCAGCAGTATGTGAGCATCCCATCAGGCTTCTGCTGTGGCTTCCCACTTGCATTACTGCTGACCTTCAGAGCTGCTGTTGCTTCAGACAACATTCTGGAACCCTGCGTGCTCTAAGCCTGAGGGAGAGGAACCCAAAAGAAGAAAGGGAGGGATTTCACTCCCATGGGTAAGTATGTAGGTTTAGTCACTCAGTCATGTCCAACTCCTGTAACCCATGGCCTGTAGCCCACCAAGCTCTTCTTGTCCATGGGACCTCCCAGGCAAGAATACTGGAGTGGATTGCCATGCTCTCCTCCAGGGGATCTTCCTGATCCAGGGATGGATCCCAGGTCTCCTGCATTGCAGGCAGAATCTTTACTGACTGGGTGACAAGGGAAGCCCTATTCCCTTCCCCAAACCCTACAGCCAGTCTCCTAGTATCTTGTAGTGTTGAGATGACCAGGGCTGGCCCATTGCACTATACAGAGCACAACTCTTGGCCCATCTACATGATTGATGCCAAAATAACTCTATGGACTATCACAGCTATTTTTTTAGATGAGAATGAAGAAACTTTAGGATTTGCCCAAGTAACCAGTATTCCAAATCTAGTTGTCTCTGATTCAAAGCCTGTGGCCCTCTCTAGCACAGAGAAGGTATGTTTTGGGGAACCATGAGAAGGGTCCAGTATGCACGTTCCCACTTTCAGGTGAGACAGTTTATAGAGTAGTGGTCAAGAAGGTGGGATCTGGATCCAGAGTGCCTGGGTTTGAATCCCATGGGCAGTACAGTCTTATACAAATTCCTTAATATTTCTTTGTCTCATGTTCTCATCTATCCAATAAAGATAATTATTATGCCTATCCGGTGAGAATGTTGTGAGGATTAAATAAATAAACATATGAAAAATTCTTAGGTGCCAAAGGAGAGAACATGTGTTGGAGACTGGTCCCAGTTGTCATCTCCCTACCCTCAGCCAATTCAAAAGATGCTGACAGGAACATCTTAATTGTGCTACCCTCGGTTTTCATTCTGTTGGGTTCTATTATTTCATTTTCTAGCATGCATACCTCCTAAATCCATGAGGCTAAAATTTGGACTATGGTTCCATATGATCTGGTAGTATAGTGATTTCTGATTATGAATTTCTATGTGACCGTAAGCAGAACACAAATCCAGATCTCTGAGTGTATCCTCAAGGTGCTGAGTGAGAAGTAGCATCATGTCTGGTTTCAAAGCATGGCATGTGGAGATGGGCACGCATGTCTCAGATCACTAACTTGCTGAGTGAACTTTCCTTCTGAGCTTCAGTGCTCTCATCCCTAAAATGAGATATTACCAACCTTATTGTGAGAGTTCAAAGGACAAAGCAGGTAAAATACTGTGTGTGTGTGTGTTAGTCGCTCAGTCGTGTCTGACTCTGTGACCCTATGGACTGCAGCCCACCAGGCTCCTCTGTCCATGGGATTCTCCAGGCAAGAATACTGCAGTGGGTTGCCATGCCCTCCTCCAGGGGATCTTCCTGGCCCAAGGATCAAACCCAAGTCTCCTGCATTGGCAGGCAGATTCTTTACTACTGTGCCACCTCAGAAGCTCTCTGGGAAGCCCATAATAGTGCTAATTCTTTCAAAACATCTTTAAGGTCACAAACTGTAAGGCAACTTTTTGTCAAATAAGGTTCCCAGTTTTGTTCTTTACTAATTGTTCCATAAAAGTTGAAAAGCATACCTTCACATATAACTGTTCCCAGAGGGAGTCAGCTTGTAAGCATTTCATCACATCTGAGACGTTCCCCATATTCTGATATCCTGTGGTTGTAGAGTGAGAAATCCTGACTTTCTGTTCTGTGGAGGGAGAGTTACTGTCTTGAAATAAAGCATGTGTTTCTTGTCAGAATAAATGTATCAGGTTGAGTCCATGTGTGTGCGTGTATTGGTGTGTGTGTATACATTTAACTGCTTGTGGACTGTGCTTCCCAGGTGGCACTGGTGGTAAAAAGAAAAACCCGCCTGCCAATGCAGGAGACATAAGAGACTTAGATTCAATCCCTGGGCCAAGAAGATCCCCTGGAGGAGGGCGTGGCAACCCCCTCCAGTATTCTTGCCTGGAGAATCCCACAGACAGAGGAGCCTGGGGTCCAGAACCCCAGAAACACATGGGGTCACAAAGAGTCGGACACGACTGAAGCAACTTATCACGCATACACAGCACATAAGCATTGTAATATTTTAATTGCCTGGCTTTAATAGCAATTCTGCCTTTGTTTATAAATGGAAAAAGCTTTCTGAAAGTTTGAAGAATTGCTAAATAGTAAGCTCTCTATGAGGAGTAATAACTTCCATATAGTGAGCTTATGTGCAGGCACTGTGCTAAATTCTTGGCAGCTTTAATCTCATCTACTTCTCTCAAAACAGAATTTATTGTTGCCATCATTTTACAAAGGAGGAAATGGGTTTAGAAGAATAACTGGCTATTTTGTGTGTGTGTGTGTGTGTGTGTGATGAGAAAACTTAAGAACTATTAGCAACTTTCAAGAGTACCACAGTATCCTTAATTATAGCCAGAGCAGAGCTGGGATTTGAACTTGGGTCTGTCTCACTTCAGAGGTGGTTCTGCAGTCAGACAGCAGCCTCCCACCTGTGTCCAGGCTCACAGAAATCTGTGTTCCATGGGCACTATTTGGGTAGATGTGTCTCTTGATATTACATACACTGATTTGAGACGAGGGAAAGGTCTCTCCCCTCGGTCTACCAGGAAATACTTATTTTTCTGCAGAAAAAATAAGCCAATCCTAACTCATTATAGCACTGACTTCAAACATTAACCCGTAGCAGACACGCAACTCCAGTGGCTCCATCTTTGTTGTGGCTAAACCTTGAGGGTTCAGAACAGAGGGGAGAAACCAAGGGGGGCGAGCCCTTGCCCGGAGGTCCATGAACCGGGCACTGCCCTCTTAGCCCAGGGGCGAGCCTTCGCCGAGCCCTGTCGGTGAGTCTCGCCCGGACTCGGGCAGGGCTGCCCTGCTCTCTGGGCCCCCTCAGCTGCTGGGGCGCGCGCGGCCCCGGGGTGAGAGACGCGCTCACTTACTGGGAGGGCAAGGGGCGTTTGATCCTGGCCACGGCCTCCTGCTCTGCAGCCGGCTCCGGCCTCTCGTCCGCCTCGCCTCCATAGCCACTGTCCTCCGTGTCCACGCTGTCGCTCCGGCACTGGGGCCCCTCCCGCTCCATCGCCTTCCAGCCTCTGGTCAGCTCGGTCACCAGCCGGGCACACTTCCTCCGCCGCGTGGGGGAGCCGCGGCTGCGGAGCAGCCTGTCCACGTCGCTCTCCGACTGCCCGGCCTCCGGCGGGCCGCCCTCCTGCTCGTACCGGTGGCTGAGGTGGCCCAGGTCCCCTCCTCTCTCGTAAGCCTTGCTGACGACCGTCTTGGTCACCTCTTTCCTTTTGATAGGAGAAACCGCGGAGGCTTCCTCTGAGCCGTGAGCATCTCCACATCCCTCTGGCTTCGGGGAGGAAGGCTTTGGGGCCCTCTGAGCTTTCCAGTGGGAGGGGGCGTCTGTCGCTGGTCCAGAAGTGTCCGGTGGGTCCTGGGTGCCCCCTGGCATCCAGCCTGCCGGCTCCTGGGCCTGCCTGATGCTGTTTTCATTGGCCCACTGCTGCCAGCCTCGGGCTAACGTGATAACCAGGGTGGCTGTGCGCACCTTCCGGAGGGCACCCTTGGCTGGCCCGTCGCCCCTTTCCTTTTCTCCCGGAGCCATGCCACCCTTCTCTGCTGAGAGCCTGGGTACTGGCTAAAATGAGTGTGGACCGGTGGAGGGCCCGGGATTTAAATAGAAGCGGGGTGTGGGGTGGGAAGAGGGTTTGGTGACTGTGGAAACTATGTTAAGCTCTTCTTGCCAAGATGCGGTGCCTTCCCCCTGACGGTGCGCTTTTTTTAAACCCTGACGGCTCCAGTTTCATCGCAGCAGAGGGACGTCTGTCTTGGTAAAGGACAGTGATAGGATCCTGCCCTTTCTTCTCCAAGTGCCAGAGTGGAAACTACTAGATCCGATCATGTGCTCAGCCTTAAGTTTTTCTTGACCTTAAAATATGGTTCTACCATTTATAGGAGCATAAAATACGTGTACAAGTTGTGCTGGGAACATAATAGGCTTATTTCCATTGAAACCTCAGCAGTCGTCGATACAGCTTTAATTAGTCCCATTTTATGGCTGAATACAGTGACGCATAACTTCCTATAGCTAATAATATCTAAGACTGGAACCCAGATGTCTGATGCAAAGCATGTGCCTCTTTTCATCCTTACTCCTCAAAGGCATCCTACTGCCTCTTTCTTTTGCCTTCAACTCTATTGGATGTAGACCTTAGAGGTCATCTCATCCAAGCTCCATTTACCAGATGAGAAAATCGAGGCCCAGATAAGAGGGCAGAAAAGGGCCTAGTATTCTAATTGCAAGTTTGAATTACTTTATAGACAAGTCCTATTAATACACAAGACAACAGTCAAAATTTTGGCCCAATTACTTTTTTAAAAAAATCTTTAAATTGAGACCTACACACACAATGAACTTCAGAGACTGCTATTACAACAAATCTTTTCAAATATTTTGTTAAATAAGACTATTTAAAGACAAAGTAAGTGAATGTTATCAGAAGCAAGCCCCACCTCGCTATTTGTTTTTAATAACACAAACTTCCTTGGCATAACTTTAGGTTCATGCAGAAAAAGCCATGCTTTCATTTCTGAGAGCAAAGACTGGAATATAGTTGTTTTTTGTTTGTTTATTTTTTTAATAGGACTGGATAAGTGGGTCATTTGTACAGAGAAAGAACTATCTAGGACGTGTCCTAAACCAGATAAAAATGTGCAGGGGTCAGCATTGAGTATTTCTTAAAGTAAGACAAGAAGAATTTTTTTTCATACCACAGTTCTATAGATTTTTATACTTTCCTCCAATCTTGACATGCATTTAAACACACTAACTGAAGATTGCTGTCCAAGGGCATTAAAAAAGGTAAGAACTGTAATTACTTCTGAAACGGAGACAAATTTATTTTTTAAAATGTTGTCAGTTTTTCATCCTGTAGGTCATCTACCTCCTAAGATTAAGACAATTGGGAAGATGACTTAATACTCTATCTAGAAATCAGTCAGATGTTTTCAGAGTTCAACAGCATCTGATAATGTTAACTGTGGTCCAACAATGCAGAGACAAAATCCCAGTTGATTAATTAAGAGGAAATTGGATCACATGAAGAGAAAACTATGACAAAGATTTCGATCTGAGTCTGAAACTTCTGGCATTCTTTCTTGGAATGTAGACACACTGCAGGCTGTTTGGTTCCTATTAGATTCTCTTCACCCACTTGGAATGCCTTGGGAAAGGAATGGGCTTCCTCAGAGACATCCATGCACTCAACGCAGGATCAGGCCGATTTATAACTCTCAAAGGAACTTTTCTGCTTCCCTGTCCACACCTGTTCCATATTCACTTCTTACAGGGGGAGAATAAAACAGCAAAATGTTAATAGTCTTTCACATATTAATGGGCATTGCAGCTGGCTGCCTGGGGCTTACAGCTGTCAGCAGATAGTCTTGGCAAAAACCAGGGAACTCCTAAAAGAATCTGGTCATTCCTTCTGAGATTTTACTTCCACGGCAACTGTGGTCCTTCATTCCTGTGGTTCTTCATTTATGCTTCTTCAGAAGAGAGTGTAAAATCTCTTTTCTCCTCATGTCTGCTTTGGGCATTCCTTCCCTACAAAAAGGTCTGTATGCTACCTACTACGTCTCTTATAAGAAATGTTTTATCTTCCTTCTCAACCTAGATCTAGATTCTTGAGTTCAATATTCTTCTGCTTTAAAAGAAGGTATAAAAGAAATGACTATAAAAAAAGACAAAGATATAGTGTACTAAGTAGTTTACATTGTGAGTTTCCTATGAGACATGAGATTAGAAACTAGGTGAAGATGTCGACCTGATTAATTAAGTATTTAACACCTAAGAAATTTGTGGTGTGAATGTGTTTTATAAAAAATATTAATTATTATTTGATCATATGGGCAATACTAGGGAAAGGAGGGAGTTAATATTTATACACTTCTCTTCATGATATGCTTAGAAATCAGGTAAAGTCAGCTATCATCACCAGCGATATAATCTTACTAAAGAAACTTTAGAAACCCACATTTGCTCAAAGCTCATATGAAATAATAACTTCATTGATCCTTTCTATGTAAACAAATAAGTCCTTTTCTTGTTTAGTTACAGAAAAGTGGGAATGAAAAGACTTTAATGGACATCAAAAAAGGGCTCTTGATTTCAACTGAATTTACTTAACTCAGTGCTCATGGAAAGAATATAAGGGTAAGGCCTGATGGCGGTTGGTGTGAGGAAGGGTGTGAAACTGATCAAAGCAGAACTTACTTTCAAGGTCTTCCCGTCTAGCCAGGAGAGAGTTGTGCATACAACTGCCTTTAACAGTTTGGGGAGAGCTGCATTAGAAATGGGGCTTCTCAGGTGGGCTCAGTGGTAAAGAATCCACCTGCTAGTGCAGGAGATGCAGGTTCAGTCCCTGAGTCAGAAGATCCCCTATATAAGGAATTGGCAACCCACTCCAGCATTCTTGCCTGAAGAACCCCATGGCCAGGGGAGCCTGGTGGGCTATAGTTCATGTGGTCACAAAGAGTCAGACAAGACTGAGCAACTAAACGTTAGAAATAGAAAGCTTTATTGAGCACAGGTGAATGATTTTATTGGGAAGACGTCACAGAAACAGTGGTCCTTTATCTGAGCCCCTCAAAATAAAACCTTACCAGGGGGAGAAAGGGCTCTCTAACCTGAAGCAGTGCTGTGAACAAAGTTATGAAGTTATGGTGTGCCTTGAGACCTTCTCATGCCCAGCCTTGAGCCATAACCTCAAACACCTGGAGGATCATACAGGTCGTTTAACACATGAGCTAAGTCGGGTTGGAGCACAACTGTGGGTGTGAGGACATGGGAAACTGATGAAGTAATATCTCAAGAGAAGACATCTGGGTTTTTACATGCACTCTTCCAGTTCTTCACATGTTGAAGAATTCTTTACATGGTGATGATTAATACACACAACTTACACACAATACAGTATAAAGTGAACCTACACAATTCTTGGACCAGATTCTGTGTGCCTCCAGTTTTTGAACTTTAGAGAAGAACATACCGTGTTTATGAGGTAAGGACAAGAGGTCAGGGCGCATTTGAGAAATAAGTTGGAGCTATATTTTGAAGAATACCTTGCTAAGGAATCAGTATTTTATCAAATGAGACTCATTGCATCATTAAAAAAATTTAAACTTCAATGTGATATCAAATTCACATTACCAAATGGTCAAATCAAAAACCGGTGAAGTGGGGTATAGATTTGAAAAAGACTAGACTAGGATAGGGAGATTGTTTACAGGGGTCATGAAAATAATCTTGGAAGGAACCGTAAAGAATGGTTCTGAGAGAAGGATCTGAAAGAAGGGAAGAAGGTCTGGGAGATACTGAGGGTCACAGCAGACTCACTAGTTGCCATGGGTGATGGGTGTTGGGAAATGATCTAGAAGCTTCATTTTGAGTGACAGGTGTGAGGAGGTGACATTAGCTGGGAAAGGACTGGAGAGGGGAAGGATTTGTGGTGAGAAGGAGTTTCCTTCTGGAGTTGCAGAAGCGCTGGGGCATCTACGTGGAGACGTGAAGCAGTGAGGGGAGCCGAGAACATGAACCCTGTGGTTGGGTAAGGATCAGGTGAAAATCCAGACTGCAGGTTAGCATGTTATCTAGTTTTTCCAAGATTCAGTTTTTTCATGAGTATCAGAGAATCTACCTCACAGAGTCGGCATGAGAATTAAGAGTAACACACGTGAAGCACTGAACACCATGCCTGGCACATGCAAGCTTGATAAGCAGCTATTGTTATCATTTTGAGGTCAAGGCATGGAGTTAGAGAATTAAAGCTCCTTAGATAATTCTGTGTGACCTAGGACAGGAGTGATACTGAACCCCCGGTCAGGGTGCATCTTCAGGTGGGAGGGTCAAGTGGGGTGACTGGTAGGGACTGGAGGCTGCAAAGGGAGCGCTTATTTATAGTGTTTTATTTTAAGGTAATTTATAGTGAGGCCTTTAAGGCAGTGTCTGAAAGGTTTCCCTCAGCCTGGTCGGGGGTCAGATGAGGTCTCAGTTACTTGGTAGTAATTACCAAAGACTTGCGCGCAGGTGTCTTCCTGGAAACTCCTGGAATATGGAGTTCAGTGGTTTCCAATCACTGAGGATCACATTAGGGTCTTAAGCATATTAGGATGACCTGTGAAGCTTTGAAAACTAGAGCGAAGTCAAAATGGCTACACCCAGGAGCACAAAGGGCAGAGGGAACCCTCGTGATGGCTTTGAAGACCAGAGGAGGCAGCGACTGCTGAGAGGAGAGCTAGAAAGGTACTGGCATTCTGGGAAAAGGGTTGCAATAAATGGAAACCCATGAAGCAGATGATACTGTTAAGGAGAACTTAACGGCTATCATAACCAGAAAAATTAACCAGCTTCCAGAAGCAGAAAGGAATCTGCTTCAAATGGAACAGCATATATTGGGCTTAATACTGCTCTCTGTGGCCCAATAGCAGCTGGTCTTTTTCAGTGTATCTCACATGTGGCACAGTCTCCTGTAGCTGCTGCCTCACCACGGGCAGTGATCCCACTTTTGATGGCCTGTGTATCTTACAGAGTTCTGTTAGTTTTCCTTTGAATACAGGTGATTTGCA